GAAAGCCAACTGATTTTTGTATGTTGATCTTGTATCCTGCTACTTTGCTGAATTGGTCAACTACGTCCAATAGTTTTCTTGCTGAGTCTTTAGGGTTTTGTCATCATTTATATCCACACCACCATATTTATATGTACATTTCTTTCAGAGACCTTATACAACTTCGATTTTTTCCCCCTCAAATAGTAAAAGTCATCAGTTAAGTCATTCTGAAGATAGAAATTTCAATCTGAAATTTTGTCTTCTCCTCTCCTTTTTAAATCCTTGTAAGATTCCACAAAAACCTTCAAAATAAAGACCCCAAGGAAGAAGGAACTTAAAACAGAAGTTTGGGTGGGTGGGGGATGTATGATCTGATGAGAGTGATTTTATCTATATCTGTATCTATCTTTATCTCTATCTATATCATCGAGAGAGAGAGAGAGAGAGAGAGAGAACACACATGCATATGTGCGTGCAAGCATGCTCTGGTGGCTTAGTGGATAGGAAATTACGCTATCAACCCAATTGATGAGCAGCTCAAATCTGCCAGCTGTTCTGTGAGAGAAAGATGGGCAGTAAGGATCTCCTCCCTTTTGATTTTTAGCCTGTGAAAACCCACTAGAGGGTCAACCAAGAGTGAGTTTTTACTCAATAAGTTGTTTGAGATGTGTGTGTGTACGCACATGTAAACACAAATCTGTTTTCTGGTGATTGAAAAACAGAGTTCATTGTATATCATTCACACCTGGCAAAAGCTACTTTGATTTTGCTGTGTGTGCATATGTATTTGCAAAATACTATAAGGAGACCTGACTGCATGGTGCATAATCAGGTTACTAACCAAAAGGTTGGCAGTTTAAATCTACCAGCCCATCTGGGGGGGGGGGGGCGGAATATGGTTCATTTCCTCCTGTGAATATTTACAGCCTAAGAAATGAAGTGATGGGTCAATAAAAGTCAGAAAAGACTTGGTGGCAATGAGGTTTCATAAGGGAACCTGATGGTATAATGTGTTATGGCTTATACTGCTAGTGAAGAATCTAATGTTTTGGATCCACTCTGAAGGAGAAAGATGGGTAGTCTCCTCCGGTAAAGATGTGTAGCCTCAGAAATGGCAGAGAGGTGCTGTGAGTTGGAACTGATTGGACAGCAATGAGTTTTATTTGCTAGTATTATGAGAAGGATGGGCAGTTTCCTCCCATGCAAATAACTGCCTCTGAAAACCTGCCATAGGGTCTGCTATGGGTCAGTTCTGACTTGACAGCAAATAACAGCAACATGATGTAGTGAAAAGCACAAACTTCGGAGAGAGATACCTAGCCCAAGTTGTTTAACCTCGCTGAGATATGAACATTAATGAGGTAAAGTCTATCTCAACGTACTTATTTGTGAATATGTGAGAAAAAAACTTAAGGGAAACCACACAGGAAACAATGACAGCTGTTAAGATTATTCACATGCCGATACCTAGGAGTTACTTTTATATAGTATGTGCTTGTGGTGTCAAAGGCTTGTTCAAAATGTCCTTCCTGGCCAATTATGAACTATTTGTTCTGAAGTATTTATTATATTATGAAGATAAGATTAGGCTGGGATACAAGCCCTACTCCACTAGAGCTCAGGGGAGCTAAATGCTAGCTCTCTGGGACTCTTGCTTTCTAGCTGCACCACAATGCATAGTCTACAGGGCTCACCAGTCTCTGCAAAACTGGCCTGTATACCTACTGCTGTGTTAATCATTCCCTTGAAGGCTCTGAGTCCGTGGGACACCTTCCAATGAACCACTGAACCTAAGGGACATAAGAAGTGCAGGGGAACAGAACGGAGGCGGGATTGTTGATTTTGAAAATCATGCTTGATACAGCAAATCAAACCTTTGGGACACTCTTGATGCTTTTTTGTAACTGGGCTGCTACTAATCTTAGCTGAGCGAATCATGAATACAGTTCTACAGTCTACGAAATGGTTTTTATTCTCTCTTTTATCAGTAATACTTGCAAAATCCCTGTCAATTTTACTCAACTCTTCAACCAAACCTTGCTACTTTCAGCTTACGAATGAGGTCTTTGCCTTACCAAGTTTGTCTCCTTTTAGCCTGGCCTGTCTACCTGAAACAACTCTTACACACACTTCTTGACTGTCCTGTTTAAGCTTAAGCCACGCTACCTGCACCAGGAGACCCACCTTCATTCTCTCTTTCAGATTCTCTTTCATGAATAAAGTACTTCTTCTGCCTTTGAACTTGCAAGTTCTCTCACTTTCTACAAGGGTGAGGACTCCTAGAGGGCAGAAGCCTTACCTTCAAAATCCTTGTGACCCCTGAAACTCCAGCACAATGCTTTCTACAGTTCATTTCCAATTTGGTCTTGTTGTTGTGTATCATCAAGTTAGAGAACCGACCCATAGCTGACCCTTCAGTGGGTTTTCTGAGGCAGTTAATCACATGGGAGAATATTATAAATAAATCATTGACAGTTCTTTTGTTCTTTTGGGTGATGTTTTTTTCTTCTCCTCCCTGATTGATTTGTTTTGGTAACTTTAACTTAACCATTGAATGGAGGTATTGAGCTGACAGCAATTTGATTTTTAAAAAGAATGAGTTGTTTTGCCAATGTTTATTTTAAAGAATAATGCTGTAATAGAAAGTGACTTTGATTTCAACTTCATTTCAAATATATCTGTAGAACTTTATATCCACAATACTCATCTAATGAAAGGAAGCATTGCTTTTTTTGTCTTGAATGTATTTCTAATTCTTTTTTGAAAAAATATTTAGATTTTTGAAAAATCATCAAGACCTCATGTCAAAAGGTATTTCCTGACATTTTAGTCTGAAAGATAGTAGATAGTTATCAGCCTCATCCACTCCATCCACTCTGATAGCCAACGCTGTGCTTCTCTTACAGTTCAAATTGACCAGTGGCTCCAAGAGGAAAAGATAGGCAATCCAATCCCATGGGATTTCAGTCTCAGAGACCCATTAGAGGATCAGCTGGGAGTTGGTTCTGACTCAGTAGCAGTGAGAAGTTAGAGGAGGAGGAGTGTATGTTGGGACTTCCCATGACTTGATCTGTAGGGAATTGCACTGCTGACCCAAAGTGTCAGCTATGCAGAAGAAATACCCTTCTGTGCAGTTTATAGTCTCCACACACCTGCTGGACGATAAGCTATAATCCATGCTGACTAAGACAGCACTGAGTGGGTTTGAGTTATAGACAAATTATTTTAAGAGAAAATTATTAGGAACTCCATTATTGACCTCTGTGTCAAAATTATATACAGGGTTTTAAGGCAGACACTAACAATCCGTAAGTCAGGAATGTTCTTAAGTAACATTTGTGGCTTGTCAACTTTGGTTTACCTTGGAAAAGTGCATTTAGGATCAATTTTATTTTTCCACCATTTTGAAACCAAATGCAGAAAACTAGTAATTGCTGAATATTCAGCAAACAGCTGCTTCCTTTGTTAATGTTTAGACAGGCAAGTATATAGTAAATAAGAATAATTACCACTTTGAAACTGAGGTTTGGTATGATGTCTTTTCATCTACCACATCTGATTGAAGAATAACAGGCTGTTTTATATCCATGAACAACAATCTGCAGCAATTCATATATAAGTTTTAAGTATACTCAGTAACCAGGGAGGTCTTATATATATCCAGATAGCAGTAAAATAATTGTCATTGTCTAATTCTTCCGCATACTTATGGGAAACTTAGTATCAAATGGATCATTTTTATATCACATATAATTATGTATCCAAGAATTTTTATGTTTGAAAACAAAAGTGTTTGTATAAAAAATAACACTTTCCCTTTTTCCTAAAGGAACTTGTGGAGTACTACAAGCATCATTCCCTTAAGGAAGGTTTCAGAAGCTTAGATACAACTCTACAATTTCCATACAAGGAGCCAGAACATTCAGCTGCACAGAGGGGTAATAGAGCAGGCAACAACTGTGAGTATTGCAATTTAAAATACCATTTGCTATCCCTTAAGTAGTGGAGGTACAATAATGTTGAGCAACTTCAGGCCACATTTTAAAATGTAACCAACTAATATGGTAGTGCAGTTAGCAAGTACTATTTTTTTTCCTGGAGCTAAACATAATCAGATGGGCCAGCAGGTTTGTGAACATATCTAGTTATGTTTCTTTGAGGCAAATTAAAAATCATGTTTGTGCTCATAAATCCATCAGGAATGGGAAGGGTATGCTAATTTGCAAGCTTTGTACTTCTCACTGACTTTTATATTGGACAAACTCATTGTACCTTACACATACTGTTTGTGGTTGTGATGCTGCTTTGAGGAATAGTATCCCAGAGTGGTTGTACAGCTGATCTAGCCTCGTTTCTCAAGCTCGCTTCGGGTGCTATTTTAGTGATTAGGAATTTTGAAATGACTGAATACTTCTCTTTTATGTCCGTCAGTTATTAACCAGCCATTTCTAACTTTATATTAGCCACTTTTATTCTGAATGAGCGCTGAGCCACAGCTAATCACAAAAGATTAGAAAGCAACCAAAATCATGTCATATTTGAATGTGAGTTCAAGACAAAAACTGTTCTCTCTTCACGACATAATCCCATGTAATCTTCTTGGAGGTGGATACAGCAGGGAAAGGAAACACCATGATGAAAAATTTTATGAAATAATTTTATTTTTGTGTCCCTTTTTGATAGCTTTTTCTAGTTTTATTTTTTTAAAGAAAACTTGGTTTGCGGAGAATGGCAATTTTATTATTCATACAATCTTTAGATATTAAAATAGAATATTTAGAAATATTTGAGGAAAGAAGCTTGCATAAGTGTAATATAACTCACCTTTTTTTTACCCTGAAAACTGAAATTGAAAGGGAAACAGAATACTCAAGACTCTAACAGCGTTAAGATTCACACACTTACAGTGTAAATATATCTACAAATAATTTGTCACATGAATGAAAGTGGGTTTTTTTTTCTAATCGCAATAACCTTAAACAGTGTTCGGGAGCCCTGGCGGTGCAGTGCTTAAGTCCTTAGCTGCTGACTGAAAAGTCAGTAGCATGAGTCCGTCAGCCAGTCAGTGGTTCAAAGCTGTGACAGTCTGCTTCCCTATAGAATGAGGCTTTTGAAACCCGATGGGGTGTTTTTACTCATCCTTATAGGGTCTCAGTGAGTTAGGTCAACATAATCGTAAACATGATGGGCTTGGGTTGGGGTAGCTGTTGGCCTCACAGGAATGCCCCAATATTTAGTAATAATTAGTAATAAATTGACTCAGTGACTGGGATAATGGGGGTGGGTGTATCAGAGACAGTGAGTTTGGCTCAGGATAGAGCAGGTTTCAGAGCTGTTTTACGGAGGGTTGCTATGAGTTGCGGGCAACTTGATGGCACATAACAACAACAACAACAGTAATAAATGCACACTTTATGTTGGAAGTTTTCATCTGTATATCTACTTTTAAAGCCCTATGTTATCCAACCATGTAAGATTCTTATATAGGCCATAATTTTTTTTTTCTGATTCAGAAATGGAAGTTTTCCTTCAAAACAGAATTTTCTTCAAATTTTTAAAAAAAATCTACCAAAATTAGACCTTTCTCCTTTGCATAAAATGTAGAATTATCAACTGCTTTCCTTCCCCTTCTCGTCAGCAGGAGGTAATAAACTTGCCCCAAAAGTCATTTACTTCATTTATGCTAAAGATTCTGTTTGAGTTATATACTTACGTCTAGGCAACCAGCGAAATCCTTGGGAGGTGAGGGATTGATCTGCAGGAAGAGGGGATGGATCTGCAGGAAGAGAAGATGTGCCTTTTGAGAGGGAAAGGCTTCACATTTCACTGCATAGTTTACACCCAAACACTTTTTTTTTTCGATGCCTCATATATATAAGTGTTCAACAAATGCTGTGCAGAGAGGAAGATGCAGAATTTAAGCTGTTCCCTCTAGGTGTTTCATATGGCACTCTGGTGGGGATGCTTTGGTGAGGAGTGTCCAGAGGGAGTTAAGCTCCCAACCACCAGCAGCTCCAAGGTGAAAGTTAGCAATCTCCTTCCTGTATGATCTTCAGTCTCTAGAAAACTCTCGGGAAGGAGCGTTAGCTATGAGCTGGTTCTGATTTGACAGCAATGAGAAACTGTCATGAGACAGAGTATTTAATAAAATATTTAGAGTTCAAAGTCATCCAGACACTACAAAGGAAACTGCAAGCCTTTAAAAAAAAATAGTGATAGCTTATAGAATGAATTTGAACATCTGTGTCAGCGGCAGGGAAATTTTTAAAGATATAATGATATTATCAGTATAAACATTTGACATAATATTTTTTAAGAGATTCTGGCAAGTTTTGTAGCAAAAACCTCTTGGTAGTTGAAAAGGAAACACCAATTACTAATTGAAAAATTAATATTTGCTATAGGTTTTGATTTTTCCAATTCATTCACATTCAACAGAAATATCCTAAGTACCCAATACAAGGCAAGGGAGGTGCTGTTTTAGGTGCTGGTTCATTCAGCAGTTACGAAAACATAGTCTGTGCCCTTATAGAGTTTGAGTCCCTCAGTCGTACAGACATTTAATGCATTCTGCTTCTAGCCAAGAGCTGGAATGAGTCCCTTCAGTGGTCCCACAAAAGAAAGGCCTGCTTGTCTATCCCCAAAGAGTTAGCTATCAAAAATCTTACAGAGCAGGGTTCTGTTCTGACACACATGGAGTTTTCATGAGTCAGAATCAATTCTATAGGAACTAATTGGTTGGTGTATGGATTCACATTTTAATACAGACTCAGGCAAGCCTGGGATGAAGAAATGGTGTTCTCTTTCCCCTTATTGGTCTGGGAAGATCTCATTTATAAAGTGGCCTGATAGAAGTGAGAAGAGTGAGTCATTAAGTGTATAGTGGTTGATAACATGAGATTATTCCATCAATATCACACCCAGTCTAAACCAAACCTGTGGCCACCAGATGAATTCTGACTCACAGCAACCCTGTGGGGGAGAATCAGTGTGCCCCAGACGGCTTCTAAGGCTAAAAAGCTGGATGGAAGCACACTGACTCATCTCTCCCCACAGAACAGCAGGTAGGTTTGAACTGCTCACCATTTGATTACCTGCCATATGTTTTAACCATTGTGCCATCAGGGCACCTTCAATAATGCCATGCAGCAGAGTTCGAATCTTAATTTCTGATGCTACCTCAATGTTTCATTTATTTTATGCTGACTTTATAAAATATGTGAAGAACACTAAGGTGGCTGTGAGATTTAAACAAGAATCTGTATGCAAGGTATTAACGCAATGACTATAAATTACACCAAAAAGCTAACCTCACTGCCATGAATTTGATTCTGACTCATGAGCTGCGTGTGATACTCAGTAAAAGTCAACTACAACCATTGCCACTCCCATCACTTTTACCATTACCACTGACTATTTTTCCTAACACAACACACATATTCCTAGACTTCAAACACTTTGAGTGTGTTTGCTATTATGCTTGTATCAGTGTTTATTTACTTTTATGGTTTTTAAATACATCTATTAATAATATCGAGTATTGGTTAAAGGTAAACTATGATTGCAATGTGATTTCAAGTATGATATGCTTTCCAGGAAATGGTAAGGAGGCGATACTACATAATCTGTATAGAAAGATTGTCTCTGCAGTATTTCCTAATAGAACAAAGTTAAATATGCTGCTAAGTATGATCTAAAAATAACTTATCCCACCATCACCTTGGCCTCCTGGCTTGGAGAGGACACTGGTATCTCCATTATCTCAAAACGGCTTTGGAGGAGCAGAGTGAACAAGATGAAGCCCAGAATTATCCTCTGTTCTAGGAAGAGCCTGGAGATCTAACTCCAGAGACATGCTCTTTTTATTTTTACTGTTTTATTCTTTTAAAAGTTTTGTCACTTTGGAAAAAGAAGTTTGAAAATTTGTGCTTCATAGGGAGTTGCACTGTTAACCCAAAGGACATGCGTCTGTGTCGGTTCACATCCACCAACGATCCAAGAGAGAACGCAGTGCAGTCTCTTACTGTGCTGCTTACAGCCTCAGAAACCCCCTGGAAGGTCAGCTTTGAGTTGGTTCTGACTCGATGGCTGTGAGTTATGACTTTTACTAGCCTTGTGTAGAACAGCTTGAGGAAGCTTACCGATTTTTTTAAGTTTACAAAATAAAATAAGATTATGACAGACCTACATCATGCAAATACAAGTAATATGCAGACTGATTAGAATTAAATATAGGCCCAGAGTGTCACTCAGAGAGCACTGTTTGTGGGGGACAGCTGCCTTCCAGGGCAATAGGATTTTTGTCTTTGCCCTTGGGATAGTTGTTTCTGTCAGAGTAGTAAATGGAAAGAAGAAGAAGAGGGAGAAAGGTGACAGAGGAGATCAGAAATAGCAGGAATAGAAGTGAGCTGTTACACTTCCTTTAAAAATTGCTGTGGCTTCAGGGTAGGTGCCCTGTCCTGTTTGCGGGTCTGTAACAATTACTTTCTAATAATGGTCATGGCACATCTTGGACTGCTTTGGGTGTCCCTTTACGTTTTGTGTATTTGAAAGGCATGGAATTTACTTTTCTGCTTTTCTTGCTCTACAATGAGAATTTAATTATTTTCAGGTCTACCACTGAGTAGCTTTCTGACCTTAGGCAAGTCACTTAGCGTGTGTGAACCATAGCTTTCTCATCTGATGAATGAGAAATGGGATTGGGTATTTATTGCATTCTTTTAAAAACAACATACTGGGTTTCTTTCTTGGTATGAATGAAAGAAGTAAGTGAGGTAGACTGTTACTACTACTACTACTACTACTACTAGGACTGCTACTAGCACCACCACCACTGCTACTCCTTTTCAATGCATCAAAACCAACTCACAGCTAATCCCTACCCCCACCCCTGGCAGGTGAGCCATTTTGTGATCCATCAGCAAACTTTCCACATCAAATCTATTTTTCCAACGTTCTC